ATTTGACTGTGTGCTGATCATTGCTCTTGAAAAATTATCCCTGAGGATTTCCTGGGGCTAAGAAAGAAGGTGCCTTCCTCCAGAGAGAATGTGGCTTTGCCTCTGCCATCTGCCTTGTGGTATTAGCCATTCCAGAAGCATTTTAAACTAGGGATTCCTTGGATGATGCATTGATGCAAATTTGGACTGAAAATCCATGTGAAAGTCCCTATCATGGTCAGGCTATCTCAAAAACAGGTTTCCTTTTTTTTCTTTTATCTTCTGCTCTGCTCAGCACCAAGGCAACTCTCTCACGCTGCTTATAGGGGTGGGGAAGGGGGAACCAGTTTTCCTTTGGATTTATGTTTACTATGAGGTGTAGCCCCTGGAGGAAGGTGGTCCTAGCTAAATATGGGGAGGATTTCCTTTCATCTCCCTACCAGAGGCATATCTTCCTCTCAACTCACAAGCTATTAAAACTTCACTTGATTTTTCTGGATTTGGCTTTGATTTCTCTTTCTTTCCCACAAAGCTATCAAAGCCTCAACTTAATTTTCTCAGAACGTGGCCTCAGACAAAAGTAGATTGCTGTGCTTTGCTTACTTTTCTAGGTTCTTACTTTTTCTTAGCTCTTTGCTTGGAAATATCATTAATGACATTCACTACTTTCTTATTTTCAAAATAAACACTAAAATATTCAATATCAGGGACTCAAACAGATATTTGTATACCCCTGTTCATAGCAGCATTATTCACAACAGCCAAAAGGTAGCAGCAACCCAAATGTTCATCTAAGGATCAATGGATAAACAAGATGTGGTCTATACATAAACAGAATATTATTCAACCTTATAGAGGAAGGGAATGTTGACACATGCTACAGTTTGGATGGACCTTGATGACACTATGCTCAGTGAAATAAGCCAGTCACAAAAGGACAAATACTGTATGATTTCACTTGTGTGAGGTACCTAGAGTAGCCAAATTCAGAGACACAAAATAGAATGGCAGTTGCCAAGGACTGGGAAGAAGGAAGAATGGGGAGTTACTGTTTAATGAGTACGGAGTTTCAGTTTAAGAAGATGAAGAAAGTTCTGGAGATGGATGATGGTGATTGTTGCACAGCCATGTGAATGTACTTAATGCCACTAAACTTAAAAATGGTTAGGGCCGGCCCTGTGGCTTGGTGGTTAAGTGCGCGCGCTGCGATGCTGGTGGCCCGGGTTCGGATCCCGGGTGCGCATCGAGGCACCACTTCTCCGTTCATCCTGGGGCCGAGTCCCGCATACAGCAACTAGAAGGATGTGCAGCTACAACATACAACTATCCACTGGGGCTTTGGGGGGAAAAAGGGAAAAGAAAGGAGGAGGATTGGCAATAGATGTTAGCTCAGGGCCGGTCTTCCTCAGCAAAAACAGGGGGATTAGCATGGATGTTAGCCCAGGGCTGATCTTCCTCACAAAAAAAAAAAAAAGGTTAAAGTACTAAATTTTATGTTATGTACATTTTACTGGAATTTTAAAAATTCTTATTCAAATGATGAATTTTCTTACTTCACATTTACTTAAATACATAAAATGAATAATATTTATATGCTTAATAACGACATCTTCAGAGAGTGCTTTGTGGTTAAGTGCCAAGTTTGAATAACATTACAAAGACTATGCCCTTACTCTTGAAAAGCTTTGAATCTGAGAGACGTTTTCTTCATATACAATTATATTTAAGAAAAAATAACAATATTTGAAAAAGAACAAGACACAAAAAATAAAACTAGGCTTCATTTGACATTTTATTCTCAGGGTCAAAAGGCTTATAAAGAGATAAATTTCACATTGCTTCAATACAGGTATCTTTAAATCAAAGCTTTTTCATATATTACTATAATATAAAATTGTCTCTCCAATTGTTTTTCAAAATCTATGGTAATCTCAAATGTGAGTAATGTAAAATAATCTGTTAAATTTATAGAATTTCACTACTACACGTTTATTTTATAAAAAGTTCAATTAGAGAATACTTTTAAATTAAATTCTCATCGAGTTTTACAAATATGAATTAAGTACTTTTCACAATATAGTTAAGGGGTTAAAAAAACCGACTTAGAAACCACGTAACAACCCTCTTCAGGGGTGGGCTGCTCATGTTACACAAGACGTGTGGGGCGAGGAGGAAGGGACGGGGCGATGTTCTACTTGCCAGTGTCTATCCAAACTCCTCCACCAACATCTCCCACTCTTCACTCGGCTACAGTCACTTTACAAACAGCTGCATTTACACCCATCTTAATCTCTTTTGTGCCACTCTCAAAAAACAAGTGCATTTTCTCCTGTTATAAGGTCCCTCCACAACTTAGTGATATGTATTTCTGCATTTCCCATCTCTGGCTCTTTCCCTTCCCTTTATTTTAATAAAGATGCTTACATTTCTTCCATCTTAAGAACAAAAATACCTTCCTTGACCCTGTACATCCATTTTCTTATAGCCTTTACAATCAGCAGCCTTCAAAGTATAATCTTGACTCTCCCTCTGCTTCGTCTCTAATTCCCTTACTAACCACTGTCGTGTCTCTCCGTCAGGCCAGGACACTGCTCTTGCTAAGGTCTCCATTCACGACTGACAAAACCAAGAGACATTTGTCAGTACCTCTCTGGCATCTGACATGACGACCACATATCCTCAAAATTTTCTACTTTTCCTTCAGAGTTATTACTCTTTTATCTGCAACATATTCCAGTTTCTATGTTCCTGGTAAAACAGACTTGTATATTATAGTATCTATTATCATAAATGGTAGAGTTTTCACAAAAATTTTAATGAGATCATGAGTATCCCCCATATCTTTTGATTCACACAGCAGTTTGCTGGTTATCTGGTAACAGCATTTAAAAAGAGTTATTAAACAAAGATAAATTATACATTTTTAACAAAACCTCTAATATTCTAAATTTGCTAACCTTCTCTTTGACGAACGGTAGCTGTACTACATTTTCTAGCAAATGTTAGAAAATAAATACAATCTTTCCTTCAAAGGAAATATAATATTTTGACAACAAATGTGAAAATAAATGCTTTTTGAAAGAAATTCATTTTATGTAGAAAGTATTCTGAAAAAATGTTAATTGTTGCCAAAAATAGATAAAACAAATTAATAAATTAGTAAAATTAACAAAATTAATTAAAATACTTACAGATCAACACACTTCAAAAAGCTGGAAAACAAATTTTTATCTGCTTTTAAATCTACCAAAGAATTTTAGTAGGTTTTGAACCTGTTACAAACTTTCAAAAATAAACCTGCCAATTAGTTTGTAGGAATAACTAGTTGACATCAGGAAAGATGGCCATTACTAGCTGATTTCAACAAGAACCTTTGAACTGTTGGTAGACAGAATTGAAAAAGTATCATGATTCAGTAAACACCCAATGTTGCATTTCTTTCATTTGGATCTATGTATCTTTACAAGGTATCTTTTTCAACTATGACACCTATTACAATCAAATAGTCAAACAATTGCACACAATTCCATTATTATTATATGATATTTAAATAATTACATGTTTCACCTACTACACTGCAAGTTATTTAAAAGTAGGAACTTTGTCTTCTTCATCTATGTATCCCCAGGACTTTGACTACGTGGCATACAGCAGATAGTTATGCAATAAATACATAGTGAATGAAGGCCCAAAAATACAGGCAAGTATATTAAAATGAATATATGTATACATGCACATGTAAGTATATGTGTAATAGTGTAATGCCTGGTCAGGTAAACAAAATATTACCAAAATGGGCTTAGCTCCAAGGCCCAACGCTCACATACCAATTTGATGGTGTTTAATGGCTCAACTTGTAATTATGGCTTTCTTAATTAGGATTTGTTCTCATAAATGAAGATATCATAGTTGTCCTATACAAGTGAGAATCTTTACTTTCAAAGCGAATCATCAGTGATACAAGGAATGAAAATAAAGTCAACGAAAAGTAAAGCAAAACCAGCAGAAGAACTGTTTCCATTACAGAATAATGGATAAATGACCCAGGACAAATAAAACTGTAAAAGTAGTAAAAATTAGACTTTCAAAATAACAAATTAGAAATAAAAATTGAATAACAGCATTTTTATTTTAAGACAGTTTATATTCACTAATCTCATTAAGAATGTGCCTACTACTTAGCACAACTTTCACCACGGTATAAATTTTCCTTTCATGCTCTATTAAAAAAAATTTTAATAATAAATCATATAATTACTAATATAAATATTTCTCAATAGTAAATTACACTTAGTCTTCTATGGTAGTTAAAGCAAAGAAGCCCACATTACAATTTTATGGGAAAAAAATTAGATGCACACAAAAAATGATATGCTATTAGCATCTTTAATTCTAATTCCATCTTTAAAAGAAAAGATTCAAAAAGAAAAATAAGCAAAATAAAAGAGAACAAATGCTGTTTCCAAAAAAGTATGAGGATTCATAATATATGTATATATTTGCTGATATAACATAATAAATTGGTAATGATTGTAGGAATTATTATATTAATTACATTCAGAAAAAAATTTACCTTATAAAAGCTGAAATACAAAATGATTGAGTAAAACTTAAGCTGAATTTTATGGACGATATCTATCAATCTTTTGTGCCCAAACTATATCTAGGGTCTTTTTCTCTTAAAATGCATTACCAGGGGTTGAGCTGAAGAATCTAAAACATACCAAATAGAAGGTATACTAAATAAGGCAGTATTTCTATAGCAAACGGTATCACTGTTTTTCCTTTTAGAAACATGATAAAACTTTCTGGAAAGCTGTCTACCTCATTCTCAGGTTTATAGTTAGTTAATTATGTAAGTTTGATGTTATCTAAAAATGTATCCATGGTCTACTGATTGTACTCTAATAGTGCTTAAGGTAGAAGAAAAAAGCAGCTATAATACTTAAAAGATCAAAACAAAATAAAAATAAAATAAGCAAAGCCAAATTTAGAAGCAAAACTATCCCACTGCTACCTACCTCCTGGAAACGCCATTAGCCAGACACTGATGGTGACAGGATCTGGAGGAGAGGGGTGACGAAGCTGGAGACAAGTTGAGAGGGGCAATCAAGCTGTTGATGATCTCGGTCAGCTGTGCGCTCTGCAAGAAAACAGTCAACCCTTAGTCCTGCTGAGCAAGAAACTAAGTTACATCTCAGGTCTTTAGTGACATTAGACGCTTAACTTCTCATGAAACAAGTAAATGTTTATATTTTGGTAAATATTTTAATCTACAAAGACAATGTACACCACTACTGAATTTCCCCTTATTATAAGTATGCACATTTGGAAGTACTCCTCCTTTCATCTACTCACCTTATCCTCTAAAACATTTGAACTCAGCTAATGGCATCTACGTAATATTTCCTTTGAGGCAGCCAAATTAATAATAATAACTCATAATTTATGATGTGCCAGGCACTATACTAGGCACTAAACATAGAATATTTCTAATCTTTACAACTAACCTGCAGAGTGGACAATACTAGAGCTACTGATATTACTACTATTAAAGTAAATTACAGATGAGGAAATTGAAGCAAAGAGAGATTAAGCAGCTTGATCAAGAGTTATAAACTTGGTAAGAAATGGGGCTAGGATTCAAATTCAGGCTTGAATCCAATGCTACACTGTTTCTCAATATTTTTCCTAATTCAAAAATATCAGTTTTTTTTAGGTACCCAAAATTTTTATTCACTCATAACCCAAACTTAAATATTTGTAATATATTTGTAATATGTAATAAATATTAAATTATTCTCAAAACAATCAGCTACAATAATTATAATAAACATAAGCTATGTCAATAGAAAGTACATTTCTACATAAGAATCACTATTTTCATTAACATGTAATCCATGCTCATTGGAGAAAAAAGGGAAAGTATAGAGAGGTTTAGAAAAGGAAAAGAAACTCACCTGTAATCATATTTCACAGAGAAAACCATTGCTAATATCTTGGTATATATCCATCCCTCTAGACTAAGTCTTTTGAGTATATGTGAGCATGAGTGTATACACAACATGCGTGTACACACACACCCTTCTCATTAAACCATACCACATCAATTTTCTAAAACCTGGTTTTCTCACTTAATATAGTGTGACTATATTTTTAAAAATATAAAGACCTATTTCACCATTTTCATTAACTGTAAGATATTCTATTATAAAATAGAGGGGCATATGATATAATTATTTTGAAATTAATAACATGCTATTAGAAATAATGAGACTAAAGAATATGACAAAACTAAATCTAATATTTGAATTCTTCAGAAAGTCTTTCATGGAAAAGATCCTGAAATGTTTTTACCATTTATTTTCTTGAAAAATAATACCTACCTAATGATTCATTCTAAAAATTATTACTCATTTTTAGATTAAAGCTCATTTTCAATATCACTAAAAAAGATTCTTTATCCATTTAAAAGCAAGTATTCATTAGTTTAGTCATACAAAGAAATTTATAGAGGATTACATATTTTCCATCTGAAACACCAACACAGTCTCCTCATTCCTTGTTCTCCCTCAAAAATATCATCTAAAATCTTCTAAGCCACTGGAGGTCGCTGGTCAGGTATGTGTGAATAACTGGCCAAGAAAGACAGCATTACGACCAACCCCTAGTTTTACCTTAACAACTGCCCCACAGCAGCCCAATAAAACCTCAAGTACTTGAGTCCATATCTAGGACAGGAAACTCACAGTAAGAATGAGAATAAAAGTAAAACTAGGAGAGGTATAATTTGAACTCTGAAAACAAAAACTATCAACTTAAAAATCAAAATATGTACTAGCTATTGATAATGACTTTTCTAATGTAAATACACCAGTGTGACATTTATTTTAAATTACCTGAGGTTCTAAAATAAAGTCGTCATTCGATTTACGATTTAATATATTATATATAATGCAAGTATGCATTAATACTACGGATCAATGTTATTATTAAAAATTGATATCAGTCTACAACCCAATAGTACCTTTATATTTTAACTGCCAACTCTTTAGTTGCTTTTGAGATAAATAAATTTTTTTTGGTAAGCAAAACATTCCTCCAACAAAATTAATTTAATCAAGTTATAAGGATTATCTGGGCTATATTCAAGTTCCACCAAGGTCAGTGAACAGTTAGATATCAGTAGATCATCTCAAGAATAATACGTGTAATATCAGGCTTGCTACCCCCACCACTTAACTCATTCCTGGACTGTTTTCTTCAACAGGAATTTGAAAACAACTTATTTTTTTTTAATTGGCCTATAAACACATTATTAGCTATGTTTCAAGAGCAAATGACTGTTCATGGGCAATTTATTAATGACCTCTACAAGTGGTTGCTGCTGCCCCCTTCTGCACCCTTCACCTCCACTCTCCCCCCGTCCGGAACCCTTACTATTGTCCTCACAACTCCTGGTTCCCTTCCCTACCAAAGCCTCTGGCACTCCTGTCAGCAATGGGACCTGAAATGAACATGACACCCAGGGTCAACTTTACGGGCGAGCAACCTGTGCAGCTGCACAGGGCTGCACTCAGAATGCTATGCTGTCACCAACTTAAAACAACAAAGGGCTATGTAATTTCATTTTGCATTGGGCCTGCAAATTAGGCAGTTTTGATATTAACTCAGGTTCAATCAAAGAAATTGGTGCAAGGAGAAACAAAAAATACGAGAAATCTCTTTCCAAAGGATTAGTGAGCTCCAGTAAAGAAAGTGAAGATCCGACTGACCAAGCAAATACATTATTCTGGAGCGTGAAACAACTGAAAGGGTATGGATCCCATGGGATGAGGAGGGGGAAAAGAAAGAGAGAAGTGGGAATATAACCAACACTAATTTAAAACAGCACTTATATGGTAAAGTACATTCCAATTTAACATCAGATAATCACAAAATAACTTGCTGAATCACAAAATATTCATAAAAGTATTTTGATTATGCATTCCAATTAAGGAAAATTCTAGGAAATTGTAAATTTAACAAATATGGGGTAGGAGGCATTATATCATCTTCTGACTTACCAGGAATAAGACGCTAATAACCTGGTACTAAATTATTTCACAAGGTATGTGAGAAGAACCCAGAAAGATTAGATGTGGGCATGCACGGATCCATATTACCCACTGCAACAACGTAATCATGCCACGCATCTGTGGCCCCAGCTGGGTCTATTCCCAAAGACTCAGTCTGGTTCCAAGTCAACAAACTCCTAGAGAGCCAGGTTTGTTCAAGAGCCACCGAAGTCTAAATCAAAATAAATCGTTTGATTTCAAAGGATAGGTATAGGACAGAATAATTCAACTTCCAGAGTTATCTAGAACAGGATTTAAATACCAGGAAAGGCTTCGGGATCAAAGTAATTTATTAGGGGCTTATTTGACTTTCTACTTACATAATCATTTTTTATGAAAGAATCCATATTCCAATATTATCTTTCACTAAAAATCTCTATCAATAAATTAATCAAACAACTTTTCAGATTTATTAAATGGTACCACTGTTCTTTCCCCATGAAAAAAGTCCAGCGATGAGCAATTTTGTTAGAAAAAAGATTTTCCAACCCTAGTATGAGTTATCGCCCTATGACTGTGTACCAATACTTTACATATTATATTTAAATAATCTTAATTATATCAATATTATAATAGAGATTAGTCATATACTAAATATTTTAATTGTACTTCATGTGAAATAGCCAGCCTTAATAATCAATATTCCAAGCAGACACACACGTTTATCTGAATAGTTTATACAACCAACTGAAGTCACTTCACCTCACTCACGCTTCCTCTTACGTCACATTACCTGTTTCTCTATGTTGCGAAGAAGCAGAGTAGGGCTACTCGGCGACATTTCACAATCCGGTTCTGGTGAAGGGTCTTGACTTTTTAGGGGAATCTGGGGATTCCCTGTAGTGTTTAATGAAGCTGCTTCGTCTGCAAATTGTATTTGTTTTCTCAAAACGTCTTTTGGAAGCTGACATTCTTCTAGGATCACTATCCCCTAGGCAAACAGCAATTAAAGAGTTGAAATGAAAACAAACTGACTGCTGAATCAACTTAATGTTACAGTGCACTTGAAACCCTGCCCTTGGAAATCAGAAAATACACACCTGAAGGTATAGCTCAACTCTAAAAAACTGGCTGATTTAAAACATGTACAGCTAAAATCACATGTTATGTCTGATAGGTTAGGCTTATAAAATATTATTATACATTATATACACATGGTTGTTTTTCTTCGTATTGGTTTTAGTTATTAGCATTAAAAGCACAAAAATTAAAGGCTTATACACAAAATATGAACATTTCAGACAGAAACTTGGAACACGTCCCGATACAATCTTCTGATACTCTGGTCACGAGCATTTCCATCTGAGTTTCATATTTGAGCACCCCTGATTTCACAGAGTCAAACACCAACTTACAAACATCCACACCACAATCTCACCTTGCACTAACCCTTTCACGGCACTGTAAGGGGCCCCAACCCTGTGTTGCCAGCCGGGCCCCATGGGCAGGACTGCACCGCTGAGGAAAAGTACTCTCTAGGCCAAGCAAAGCTCTCGTTGCTCACAGGGTGGAGGAGTTAATATAAAGACACAAGTTTTCAACCTGACGGGGTATTTTCTGGAACATAAGCAGTTGGGGGAACGAGTAGGGATCCAGCTGCCTCTGTGTTCCCGCCTGCCTTTCACACACACACGTACGTAGTCCTCAGCTGGCTTGTGGAACTTGCTCCCACGTCCCCAGCTTCTGCACTCTAACTGCTCTCACCCTTAGGTCCCTCAGGGACAACAAAGACAGAGAGAAAGGGGGCAAAGGAGCACACAGACATGACCTGAGTAGTTGCAGAGTCAGCTCTTGCCCTAAAACTTCTTCCCCTCCTACCTCTTTCCCCTGCAAACAATGATATATATTATTACGTGATATATATGTAATGTGTGTGTGTGTGTGTGTGTATATATATATATACAATTTTTTTTTTTTTGCAAAATGCCAATAAGCTCCTATAGGCTAGTTGGAAAGGTATTAAATGCCTATGTGGCTAAAATATTATATTCTTGTAATGAAAAATAGACTAAAACAATAAAAGTGTACAGTATTCAAGATGGAACAAATTAAATGACTGCTGTGGGCCAGCTGATATCATGTATAAGTGCTATTTATAGAATGGAAAGTGCTGTAGATTATGTTATATATGAGCAGTTTTAGTTCACATTATAATTTAGAGAACTTATCACTTTAGCATGAACATATTCAGGAATGATATTAAACATACACTCTATTATTTTGTAATAATATATTACCACTGATGCTTAGAAAAGTAATAAAGTATTTTTTTACCCTACACTTATAACAGTGCTAGTAACTTGTACAAAGGGAAGCAGATCCAGCTGTGAATCCCATCTCAATGACTGTTTTCCTAGAATGCACAAAATACAGCTGTCAAGAAATCTGAAGAAATAGATTTAAAAGAAGTTTTCATTTGATATTTTAAAAATTAAATTATACTTGATAGATACATACCATCAATATCAAAAGCTCTTGAAAGTGTCTGAAATGTTCATTCAAAATTTGTACAAGTCTCTCACTAGTTTTCCCGAGTACCTGCAAGCATACAAGTTCTCACCATCTCAGTTTAACTATAATTCCCTTTGGTTTGACTACAATTTACATTATGGGCCAGGTTGCTGTGAATTAGCCTGATTTCATAACCCTTACTTATAATATTGTTTCTATGGAGAAACTGATTCTGAGTTTCAAAAGCCCAATTTCCAAACCTTTAGAATACTACCTTGTTACAAGTAGGGGCTTATAATAGTTATTCAATGAAGGATGTTATTTTTTTGTTTGTTTATTTTTGAGGAAGATTGGCCCTGAGCTAACATCTGTTGCCAATCTTTCTCTTTTTCCTTTTTTTCCCCCAAAGCCCCAGGACATAGTTGTATATCCTAGTTGTAGGTCCTTCTAGTTATTCTATGCGGGATGCCACCTCAGCATGGCTGGATGAGCAGTGAGTAGGTCCGTGGCCAGGATCCGAACCTGCGAACCCCAGGCTGCTGAAGCGGAACATGGGAACTTAACCACTATGCCACCAGGCCGGCCCCAAGAATGATATTTTTCAAATTCAACTGAGCAGAGATTCATAGTCAACTTCATAATCTACTTTTTTCCCTTAAACTACTGCCCTGGACAAAGCTCTCTTAGTGTGAGAAGAATGGCCCATGACTTTTCTCTGCCACAGCTGAGGACAGAGAAGAAAGAGAAGAAGATTAAATCCTCTGGAGACACTGCAGAGATAATTTCTGTTCTGAAACAATAGGAAAAGAATATAAATGTGTTGGGTCACCATGATGTACACTTTCAATATCTTACAATTTTCTTTGTCAATTATACCTCAATAAAGCTGATTTTTAAAAAATCAGGAAAAGAATAGTCTAGATAGATAAAACGATAGATAAAACAAGGTAAATAACAAAGATATGAAAATTTTTTAGAGAGATGAGTTGCGATAACTGAGACAAGTGAAAACTCTAGCGTAAGATGCAAGTGAATCAGCCGCTCCAGAGAAGACGCTGGTCCCGAGGACAAGACCAGAGAGAGCCACCGACACTCCAGGGTCATCACAGAGAAGACAGGGCATGAAAGACAAACCACGGCCTCAGCAACACCTGTATTATTTCTATCAAGTCACTACAGCTAATTTTAAGCAAAAATTTAAATGAAAATTTTAAAACACAGAAAATGTACAATTTAAAATGTGGAAGACCCTATTATAGGATAACAAAAGAAATCTAAAAGAGAACACATTTAATGTAGGATATACTAATATTTTAAAATAGGCCAGCACATTTAATATAGGATAGCCAGCCTCTCGACCAAGAATAACTATTTTCACGTTTCTCTGCAAGTGAGAAGAAGCTGCTGTCTTAGTCAGAGCTGAGGCAGAGAAAAAGGGAAGCGTGGAAGGCGTAGGGTGTGGACAAGGCTGCTGCAAGAACAAGGGAGGGATGGGTGTTGCTAGTATTTGCTTTCTTCCCCTCTCCAGAAATCCAAACAAAATTTAGACCACCTGGAGAGTGTCAAAGAAGGGGCAAATGACAACTTAAAGGCCTAAAACTTGTAGATGTACTAGTAGGTCTCATCAGTGTGTGTTTCCTTGCCAGCGGCACAAATTAGCACTTATTTAAACAGGATATTTACAAAAGAGCATCTTTCAATCTTTCCCTTCCCCTTATCTCTAATTTAATTAAGAAGAAAGGTTTTTTTTTTCTTTCATGATACATTAAATAAAAAGTTCTGTCTCACTCAAGATAACATTAACCACTCCTCTCAACTTTTTAATTACAATAATTCAAGCAGCTATAGAAGCAAAGAAACCACTGTATTCCCTACTGAGTATAATAACAGCTCAGCTAAACTGCACATAAATAAGCAAATTAAACATCTTGATTAATTCCTAAGAAATGTAAGGAGAAACTACCAAAATAAAGAAAAGAAATACTGTATGTTGACAGTATAATTGTAATGACATTTTCTATAAAATAAAATAATGTGATTCTTAAGGGAAAAAAAGCCAGATACATATCTAGCCTGAACCAGGAAAATTTAAGGCCATATATGCTATTACTGGGAAGTTTAGATTTCTTTCCCTAAAATAATTTATTCCAATAGATGTTACATAAACACATAATCAAACTTTTTAAAATGTTTAAACAACAAGTATATGGCACTGCTTAGAACACACAGAATATTAAACTATCCTCTCTCAAGTCAAAGCAACATGAACTAGACTGTCTAGATTCAAATATAAACTTAGTCATCAGTTTAACTAGGAACCTACTTTCTTGGAAATTTCCACTGTTTTTAACTTGACTTGTTCTTAGAACTCTATTTGCTATAAAAATTCTTGCAATATATCCTTAAAAAAATTGGCAAAGAGGAGAAATTATCTGGTGATCTTGAAAGGATTGGGAAATCACTACAGCTGAAGGCCCTGGTGGAGACAGAGTTAAAAATGAGAAACAGACCTAAAGGACGTGAATAGGAAACTTCCATCAGGAAACTATTCTTGAACATAGTTCCCTCAAATCCACCAGACAGAACAGGTAAGCCTAAGGTTTTATGTCTATCCTTCTATCCACCTTCCTACGACGTCACCACCAAATTCTATAAGACATTAAAGAATATTCATCACCTCCTAGCTTCCTCTCCCATCCCTGCACAACTCGTCCTTTCTGCTCCTTTGAATACCACACTACTTTGACGTTCCTAAAAGAGCTCGTGTTGTTTCAGGCCTTCTAACCTTTAAGGAACGCCCTTTTCCAGTTTCATCAGTTCATCAAGCAAACTACTATTTATCCTCCAAAATCTTACTGAGGCATCACCTCTTTAAAATAAGAGTTAAGTATTCTCTCTATGCCACTTCTATATCTTATTAAAAACATGTATCACTGAGCATATTACATTATATTGCAATTAACTATTGACATGGTCTGTCTCCCCTACCAGAATACAAACTAATGATAGAGCCTAAAACTGACTAATCTTTATTGATGTACAGACCCCAGTGGGGTTGGGCTCACCACAGGGTTCACAGACTCTGATTCCTTCCCTTCTCAGCTTCTTCTTTTCAGACCAGTTGCCATCAATCTTACACTATCATCTCCTTTATGTCCACAGTTTCACCACGGAGAATACAGTTTCCCACAAAAAAAGTTACAAATAGATATTTAGCAATATTTAGATTAAATAAGACTTCATGGGATTGTATAAGAACTCTTCATATTATTGCTTCTATGGGAAAATATACTTCGAGTTCCAAGCAAGCAGCCTGTAGTTTTTGGGAAACAACATATCTTTTAGCTAGGGAAATCCCATGTTAAATTTCCCCTGGTTGGAATTAAAACAGCATTTATTTGTGTAATCGTTTGCTTAATTTTTATCCCCATTAGACTGTAAACCCTAAATATATAAGAACTCAGTAGTTTTGTTGACCACTGTTTACCCTAAGCACATATCAGGCACTAATAACTACGTGTGAAAGGCAAGAAGGGAGAGAGTGAAGGAGAGAAGGCAGGCAGGCAGAAAACAAGGAAGGGGAGAGAGGTGAGCGGATTTCATTTAAAAATCGCCATAACGTGACAACATAACTTTAACTGCCATTTCTACTGAAATAACTCCAAATCCGCATCTTCTCATAGCCCTGCCTTCTCCAGTATCTCCTATGCCCAACTCTGTCAGGATATCTCAACACGAACATCAGACAGAACTTGTAAATCAGCGTGTGAGAAGGTAAGCTGATTTTGATCAAATTTCCTGTAAAACAAGGACTCTTCTCCTGTCCTGGAAGCAGGTCACGGACTACTAGACGAGATTGTGGTGATGGCTACACAACCAGATATCTGTCAAAATCCAGTGAATTGTACCGTCAAAAACGTGTGTTCTGAAAACAAGATGAAGACAACTCCCTAAGGAGACATCTGTTAGTAAAAACATATAGAACAGCAAATAAACAAGAAAATTTTAAAGTTACCAGATAGAAAGACAGAGCACTTACATAGGAAAAACAATTACATTGACAGTAGACTGCTCCTCGGTATCAAACAGTGACAGAGAATCTTTACAGGGAGAAGGGAAAATAACTACCAAATCAGAATTTTATATCAACTGAAATATCACTGAAGAGTGAGGGTAAAATAAAGGTATTCTGAGACATACAAAGACAAAGAGAGTTCACATGTTCCGAGTTTAATGTCAAAACTACTCAAGAGGGCCGGCCCAGTGGCTTAGCGGTTAAGTGCACGCACTCCGCTGCTGGCGGCCCGGGTTCGGATCCCGGGCGCACACCGACACACCGCTTCTCCAGCCATGCTGGGGCCGCGTCCCACATACAGCAACTAGAAGGATGTGCAACTATGACATACAACTATCTACTGGGGCTTTGGGGGAAAAATAAATAAATAAAAAATTTTAAAAAAAAAAAAAAAACTACTCAAGAAGGTGCTTCAGCAGGAAGTAAACCGAGAGAGGAAAGGTGAGGCAGCAGAGGCTGCAGACTCCTCCCACACCCGTTTTCCTCGTTTTCAGAGCGCACCCCGCTGTTTCAGCGCTGCCACACCTCCTCCGGGAGAGCCCGCGTCGCTCGGCTCCTACTCCCACACATCTAGTTGCAGTGCTGAGGCTACATGTGGGCCAGCGGAGTAGGAACAACAGAGAGCCACTTCCAAGTCTCCTGCAACCTGAGACAGACCGTGCTGCACCTCCCTCGCTTCCCAAGGGCATGAGAGAGGAGAGGACTGCACGCGGCTCAACACCGCCGCCGGCACGCCCTCGAGGACAGCGGGGCCGCCGGTCAGACGCGACCCAAGTGCCAGGATGACGCGGTGCCACCAGGCTGCTCCATCCGCCTGTGCTCCCCCTCCCACTGTGGAAACGCTGCGTGCCTGTGTAAAGCCCCTGTATTGGGGGTTTCTCTGTTACCGCAGCCTGACCTGTAACCTAATTTTTATAGGTAGGACACAAAAGAATACTAAGCACATTTTTTTAATGAAATCTGTTAGAAATTTAATTAATTACTGACTAAAAAAAATCTAGATTGGAGTAGATATATTCAATTAGTAGTCAAATAGTATTAAGATCCATGTTTTAAGTTTAAAAAAAAAGAGTATAAAAATACTGAGTCCTTTTAGTCATTGTGAGAATTATTTCTAGTTGAGGAAGTACGTTAAAAATTAAGGGTAATGACAAAGAATGAAACTATAATATACAGCTTCCAAACCAGCAGAGGGAAAAGAAAGGAATGAAGCAAATTCTACCAATCCAACCAAAGAGAGGTGAAAAACAAGACAAAAATACAAAGAGAGGAGAATAAGGGTAGATAAAAAGTAAAAACTAATCAGAGTGGATTTTTTAAATCTAGCTATATGTAGCTCATAAAAGAAACACCTAGAACAATCAAAAATTTATATCTACCAAACAACATTACTTATGTGCTCGCTTCGGCAGCACATATACCAAACAACATTACTTAAAAATGCGAGAAGCAAAAACAGAATTTCCAGAAGAAACTGAACAATTCACAATGATGTGGGAAAATTTTAACAAATCTATATTAGAAATTGAAAGATCTAGATGTATAAAGATATAGCAGATATATAGAACAAAGTCAACCAGTTTAATTTAATAGAGAATTCCATAATCAACCAAGAAAGAATATACATTGAGCACTTACAAAATTTGATTAGCAATAGATCACAAAGAATCAAATCCATACAAGCTAATCAGTTTACAGACTACAATGTACATAAATAATAAATTACCAAAAAAAAAAAAAAGTTTCATGAGTTCAGAAATATAGAGATGTACTACTAAATAACTCTTGGGTTAGAAAGGCAATCACATTGATTGGAAATTTAAAAATATTAAGAGCAGAACAACAATGAAAGAATTAAATACATGGTATTCACTCAAAGTGACACTTGAGTATGAACTGAAAATAAGAGTTGTAAGGTCAAGAAGCAACAACAATAACAACAGCAATGGTCTGGTAAATCTAATGCCAACAAAACAAAACAAAAGAGCAAAAAATAATGACAGAAAACACAGAGATAAAGGAAGATCAATAAAATCAAAAATTTATTCTGGGATGAAAAGACTAAGAAAACAGACATAAAATTTTTGAAAAACAACATAGGGTGACTTTTGTATTAAAAGCAAATTTCTTATTTAAAGCTGTATAATCAAGACAGATATATAGATTAGTAAGTCCAGTAAAAGATTCATACATATGTGGAAATACAATATATGACACAAGTAATATTTTAAACCAGAAGGTGAGGATGAACTACTATAATTTATAAAAAGGTGCTGGGCTGACTATCCACATGGAAAAGAGAAAGTTAAGTCATCACCTCACAACCAATACAGAACCAAATATCAGGGGTAGGATTTCTTACAGAAGACAGAAGACACAACCCATAAAGGAAAACATTAATCCATATAATTACATGGAAGTTAAAATCTCAGTTCAAAAACAGATGTACTGAAAAAATGAAAAGACAAGCTACAACATGAGAGAGTTGTAATACTGATAATTGACCACAAATGGTATCCAAAATTTGAAAAAAATTCACATACACACACCATCCCCCCCCAAAAAAACAATAAAAAAGATATGTTAATTTTTAGACAAAAAAAAATTTGATAGTCAATTACACTGAGGCCCAATCTCACTATATGCAGGAACAATTACATTAAAACAGTAATAAAATAGTATTCCACACCCGTTATACTGGAAAAATTAAAAGTCAAATAATATAAAACGTTGGCAAGGCCGTGGAGAAACAGGAGCCTCACCAGCGGGAAGACGGACTACCAGTCACATGGGTGAGCACAGGGAGGCTGCAGACGGCCACGCCTGCAGTCCAGCATGTCCACTGCTCGGCAGAGACCCCAGAGCAGCTCTCCACAGGTTCACATAAAAGATAGCCACTGCACTATTGTGTTTACTGACATAAAAACTGAAACAATGTACACGTCTATCAATAGAACAATAGGGGAAGAGATGAATATTCCATGGTATTCACACAATTCCATTCCATTCATACAATTAAATAACATGCAGGAAGTGTAAACATGTATTTATACTATACACGCTTTATTTACTTTCTCTTCTCTATGTAGATAGCTCAGCAACTTTTTATAAATTAGAGTAGTTCATCTTCACCTTCTGGTTCATTATGTGAAATACTATAGAAGTACTTCAACTGTACATGTCATGCTTTATTATTCTAAAAACTAAAGCCAAACTAGTAAAATTTAACATCTAATAAATTTGGGGGTGGGCACACAGGTGTTTACTGTACTGCTTTCTAGCACCTTTATATGTGTTCATAATTTTTCTTAAAGCAAAACACAAAAAACTCTAAGGAGAGTCTAATAAGATACGCTCATAATTTTACACATATGTTAAAATAAATGCCAACAAAGTAGGGGTTTATTAAAAAAATATCATTTCTATTAACTGGAATCCAATAAAGAAGTTCTGAATTGCTCAAGTATGATAAATACAAAGGCATTACAAAGATAGCTTCAACTTACAGCAATTAATACATCAAAAATCTTAAAATTAACTACATTTGTATAAAGCCTTGTCACAATTATTTGGTGTGGAGAGATGAGGAGAAACTAAAACAGTAATAACTTTTTAAAAAATAGAAGACAATACCTTGGAGGCACGAATCTGCCTGTGAACGTCCGTTAGCTGTTGGATTTTGTATTCTAGCTCTGAAATCTGGGCTTGAAGCCATGTCCATCGGCTGCCAACTCTTGCTCTGTCTACAAGCCACTTCCATTCAGTACTACAGTTACTGTGAACAAGACAAACACTGTTAGTCAAAGTGCAAAGGCAATCAAGGTTTCACAGAGACTGCTTAATACCTTCCTTGACTCCTTCACACAATCCCAAATTCCTTTACAAAACACCTAATTACACGAAAGAAGACTGACATATAAACTTCTTATCAAAGAAAAAGATTTAATTTCCTTATCTTTCTATGCCACAAACACCTGTTTTTATTCAATATAACTATCCAGTAGCAGGATAATCTCCTTTGCTAGTTAATACTTTATTAATGCTTGAGGGCTGAAATAGGAGTGGGCCAGCAAAGGAAAGGCAATGAGAACGACAATAGTGACACCATGTAAAAACTGTTACGAGGCTTTTAATGTAAGCAGATGTCAAGTATCTGACAAGTCATTTGAACTGTGCTAGATCTAAATCCATGTAACAAACCATAGAGTACTCTTTTAATATATGTAATTTTCATTTGCTAAAACAGGAATCACTACTAGCTAATACTTAAAATCAATTTCAAGAAACTGTCAAAAATGATCAACTATATGAAAGCTCTGCTACATTTCAAATAAGCATACTAAATATATAGGTCTTGAGATGTTTATTAAGATAAACAGCACCTTAAAAATCTGATTCCCAGAATTCACAGCCCAGAGATGACACAAAGAATTTATATCAAGCCTTTCTTTCATGCAAATTTGAAAGGGTTGAACCCTATCTCCACTATCTTTTGGCAAGAGCACTGCTCTAACCTATATTTTGCGAGATTACAGAATAATTGCTTTATGAAAATATTCCGCTCCCTCCAACTAGACAACAATTATTTGAATGTGTGTGCATGTGCATGTGTGTTTGGGATAATTAATTAGGCTTCAGATTGCCAAGGAAAAATATGACCGAAATTGAAGGTATAACTGAAGGGCAATAACTACTTAATTTCAAAACACAAACTTCATGAAAAACTTGTCTAAAAACTGCATTTATTTTCGGGGCCGGCCTGGTAGCGTAAGCAGTTAAGTGTGTGCGCTCCGCTTCGGCAGCCCAGGGTTCGCAGGTTCGGATCCCAGGCGCGCACTGA